TGCTGAAGACGTGTCACCTGAAAAAGCCACTGTCAAAGAAGAAACCCTACCCGGTTTTGAGAAGGGAGACAGTGAAGCCCTTAATGAAGATACTGCCACTGATGTGACTGTTACTGATAATAGGACAATTCCCGATGGAGCATATGAACCCCACGTGAAGCAGAAGCCAACGAGATGGAGACCAGTATGGAAGAAGATACGTCCCATGAAATTAAGAGACTTTGTTGAATTTTAATTTTTGTGTTTGTAGTGTTTGAAAATTCTGTTTATTTAATTAAGTTATTGTTAATTATCTATTGGTCCAATTTAAGTGGCTATTGACGAACAATACTAAGGAAGGGTCACTGTTACGACAGCTGAAGTCACGTGACGCTAGTAACACGTGATGATTATCTAGAAGATTCACGAAGAGAAGAGATGTACGCTTTTATAGTATATAAGCCGCCAAGTAAAGTGACGGCAAGAATATAGTTGCAGATAAAGAGATTGAAGGTATAGACACGGAGAATCGAGTCAAGCGGGCACCGTAAGTAAAGTGCGTGAACCGTTGTGAATTATAGCGTGTGTTGAAGTTAAAGTGACTGTGGAGATTAAGTGTATTACAAAGTTGAATTGAGAAAGAATAAACTAGTTTCATTTGAGAAAAGACTTGCATCGCTGAAGTTCTTCAGAAAGAGTTTCTACGGAAAATTAACAAACAAACACAGACGTAACAGTATTTTCTTCTGTTGTAGCTCATCAAGGTGTTTATGTTACTGCTGGTTCACAGATATTTGCAAATGTAAAATTTAAGTTCATCTAAAATATGCTCAAGTGGATCAAGGAAACTGGCTGAAACTTCATGAACACTGTGTGTTGTTTGTTAATGTAAGGTAATAAAATGTCCCAACCCTCGCCACGAAAACGTCTCACAAACCATTGTACCTCCCTCAGTAACTTCCACAGGTACAATAATTATCTTACAGATACTGCAATAACATGAAAAACGATAGAAAATGTTATGAATAACTAAATCCAGATTTTGACTGAACTGAAAAAATAGTCTGACCACAATAAAACAAACTGCAAAATACTTGCAACAACGTAAATCAAGTGACAAAACGTGTACAGGACAATAGACAATGTTATTATCAAACTTTTAAGAGATCTTGAGTCAAAGATAGATCTTACCAAAATATAATGGAATTCTTGAGAGAATGTTCATGAGACTGAGAAACTTGACACCTGTATGGTCAATAGAGTAGCTTCATTCTGCTAGAGTGCATGTAATACCCATGTCAGTTGTGATCATTTCA